CCCTGTAGCCAGCAATAGCGGCACCGACAGTAAGCGATCGTTCTTCAGGTTCTTGTGGTGCGCTGCAACACCGTACGCTTAGTCCAGACTCTTCGTGAAAACTTCAAACGACATACAGATCAGAAAGCCACGCCCAAATGAGCGGCGCAGTTCCAAGTGGGACATGCGCCATGAAATAAGCAGCATACGCCGCTGACAACGGAGTCTCGCTCGGATTTGTCGTCCAGATGGTCAGAATGATGGCCACGATGATGGCAATGGCCGCTAAGGTGGGTTAGAAGTCATGTTGTGTAGAGACAAGCGACGCCCATACCTTGCAGCACAATCAAGGTCCATCGCGTTCGCAAAATGTCGGACAAGAATGCCCAGATCCAAACTGTAAACGTAATTAGCTACGGCAGAGGCGTAAAGACGCGGCAGAAGATGTACCAAAAACAACGTTTATAGCGCTGCCGCCAATTGGAATCAGATTGACCTGCACAGTGGTCCATCTCGGTGATCCGTCGCTATTCTTGATGGATTTCAGGAACAGACCAAAGTAGTTGTATCCCGACGTTCCAAGGACCATGGCGATGTACATGACCCCAATGACGTATACCAACCACGTGGAGAATATGCGTCTAAAAAGGTCAAATGCCATACGCCTTAAATGCGATGAATGGAACGTACTTGGCTGCGGCCCAAGTAATGGGTTTTGCATCCAGCCGATTCTCCCTCTCGAGTCGACGCAGAGCATACTCTGAATGGACCCTCTTGAACCAGAATGCCCATGGATTGGGACTCCCTGGGGAGTCGGGAATCATGAAGTAGCCTGCCAAGCCCCAAATGACGGTGATGATGGCATTGATGACAAAGAGCCACCTACATGAAATATGAGCCATCAGACACTGGTGGTGACGGAATATGCTTACCTCCACCCGACAAGGCCGTAGCGACCATCCATGGTTTTCACAATGGACGCCTGCATCGCCCCCGACATCATCTGCCCAACTGCCTGGCAGGAATGGTAGAAGCCGATCCTCTTGGCCATTTCCAGCGGCGTGTACCAGCACACTGCCAGTCGTCAACTCAGATGCCCTCGTGGCGTAATGGCGTTGGGTATCGCGAGAGAACGTACTAAAAAGCGTGATCATGCCGGGATATGCTGCGCTCTCGCACAGTCCCAAAAACACCCGCAGTATATACACCTGCTTCACACTGGTAGTCATGGCGACCAGCCCCGTGATGACACCCCAGATGACTTCCAGCGAGGGCAGCCACCAACTTGGTCGCACGTAGGTCATGATGATTTGAGAGGGGACGAGCATGATGCAGTACGCAATGTTGAAGTAGGTGGTAAATCTACAAGGTCGGCATCAGCATATTCGGTACCAGGTAAGAATCGAATAAGCGATGAAGACAGACAGGTTCAGCTCGTTGCCCCAAAGCCCCAGGTCCTCTTTCATGCCGGACACATAGGCGTTGTTTATGTTGGACTGATCCAGGAATCTGCAACGGTCAACAGTCGGATTCCATTCAACTAAACGTCTGCGAAAGAGCATACTTGATAACTACAGTAGCGAGTCAGCGGCATTGCATCAGATATCGCATCTCCTGGATTTTCATCACGACTCACTCTGGGAAATACACCCAAAGGTCAACAGGAACACGTCCAACCTTTGCACCAAGCTTCTCTCCTCCTTGGACCGCGCAGGCGCCGGTACGTGCGGTGCGTTTTTTGTCCCAAAACGACAGAAACTGCCCATGTTGATTATTTCAACCTTGATCTTGGAGATGACTATGGGAAAAAAAAAAAGACTGTCAAAGAGGTGACTAAAAGTTTGGTGCAGAAACTTTCACGTCCCCTGGTTACATGGCAGGTTAGATGCCAATCCCCCGCAAGCGGCGATGTGACCACGGGGGATGGAGTCGTGCGGGGGGGGATTCTAGGTGGGATTACGGAGTAGAGACCAGGCATTGGGGCCTTTGGTTGTGTGACAAAGGGAGCTGTGGGAGTACGTTGTATTGCTGTCAAGGTTTCGTCGAGATGCGCCTGAAGCGTGACACCATGGCCAATACGTCTGGTCAAATTTGATTTTGCCCTAGACTTTGTTGGAGAAAGACATGGCGGTGATGTGGCCGTGCCGCCACTAAAATGTCTCGTCGGGAAGGAGCGGCCCAACATTGAATGCATCACGGAATATTGTTGGGCAAGAGGGTGAGACGGCGCCACTGCTTACCACGCCAAGACCCCAGACATGGCCTGGCCTTGTGACAAACCAGACCGGACTTCAAACGCACTGGTCCCATGCAACGGCCCAGCCAGCATTCTGCCCATCATCAACGGTGCCAGCACAGCGGCCCAGGTCCAAAATCACCAATTGACACCAAAACACCGGTTACACAAATCCATACCGGAACCTGGGCGACCAGAGCCAAGATGTCGCTGGGCTTCTAAGAAAACACCACACCACACCACCGGATGCCTTGGCCAGGGGGGAATTCGAGCAGACAGTAAGCAGCCTCAAGGTTTCGAGAAAGCTCTCTCCCTCATGGCCAGTATCCGCCTTCCTCATTATCCACAGCTAACATTTCGTTTTCCATTAAACAGTTTCTCTTTCGTCAATATGCCCATAGTCGCCTGCCTCGCCAGCTAGCTGCTCGATTCTCCCCTTCGCTGCAAATATTGAATCATCATAGACCATACATTGCTTTCACGTTATGCTTGCCACTCTCCGATACGAGGACTACACAATAGGATGGATATGCGCCCTCCATGTTGAGGCACTCGCTGCAAGGTTCATGTTGGACAAAAGACACGATGGTGTATTCCCGGGTAGACATGGAGACGACAACAACTACATAGCGGGCTCTATCGGCAGCCATAATGTTGTTCTAGCTGGTCTGCCTACAAAGTCAATCGGTACTGTCTCTGCAGCCATACTCGTGTCTCAGATGAGGCAAAGCTTTCCAAATTTGCGCTATGGCTTGATGGTCGGCATTGGTGCTGGAGTGCCTGGGCGACACCTGAAGCCTGATGTGCGTCTCGGCGATGTTGTGGTAGCTGCGCCAACAGAGGATTCCGATGATGTGCAATGTGTTATAGGCTACGAACTCGGAAAAGAGACGGCTGGTGGTTTTATCAAGAAGAATTGGCTTTACCCCACGGACTTGCGATTGCGAACGGCCATCTCAACCATCCAAACAGAGACTGAGTTCAACCGTTCCCACGGCTTTTTGAAGCACCTTGACGTGTTTCAAACGAAACCCGAAGGTCAAAAGTTTCTATTTCCAGGCGTGGATAATGATCAACTGTACGAAGCAGAAGAAGCGGACGACAAGTATTCGCTGGTAGCACGAGATCCCCGAGACAGTCAGAATCCTGTTGTTCATTACGGACGTATTGGATCTGGAAATAAAGTTATTAAAAATGCAAAACTTCGCGACGAATTAAGGGACAAGTACAACATAATTTGCCTTGAGATGGAAGCAGCCGGTCTCATGAACACATTGCCCGTTGCCGTCATACGAGGAATCTGTGATTATGCCGACTGTCATAAAAACGACACGTGGCGTCACTATGCCGCCGCAACGGCTGCCTCATATGCGAAAGAGCTGCTCTATGCCATTGGTGCAGACCCTCTAGCTAATCCTCGTCTCGGCGGAGGTAAGATGCTGCATACATAACTTTTAAATTTGAGGTTTACTGACCAATACTAGTTCTTTGCGCAGATGAGACAAAATGCTTGCAATCGCTCTACAAATCAGACTATAAATCGCATGGAAAAAGGAACCCAGATCGAGTACCAGGAACGTGTGAGTGGTTCTTACGGCATCCAAAATATCGGCGCTGGCGTCAGGAGCGACAATCAAGTCTCTTATGGGTGTCGGGGGACCCTGGATGCGGAAAATCTGTCCTGGTCTCGTTTCTTTTGGGTGAGCTTAAGAGCGACAAGTCTCAAGCTATCCTTCCTGGCACAGTCTGCTTTTTCTACTTCAAAGATGACAACGACAAGCAAAATAGCGCAACTAGTGCCCTTTGTGCAATACTGCACCAGCTTTTTACCACAAAGAAGTTCCTTGTCAAACACGCTATGCCAGAGTATGAGAACAAGGACCAAAAGTTTACTAATGAATTCAGCACTTTATGGGATATCTGCACAACAGGTCTAAATGATGCCGATTGTGGAAATGTTATATGTGTTTTAGACGGAGTGGATGAGTGCGAGTTGCTGACTCGAAACCTTCTCATTGACTCCTTGATCAAGTTTTTCTCAGCATCCGGGAACCGAGATACAAACTCCTTCTTAAAGTTCATTGTTACGAGTCGTCCGTACGGCGCAATCGAAAGACAGTTCTATTCGCCTCGTACAACTGCGCCACCAACAATTAGATTGAAGATGGAAGACGAGACTACAGCCATCAGTCGTGATATAGAACTTGTCGTCAAGGCCAAAGTTGATGAGATTGGACATATAAAGTCTCTGCCTGCATCTGCCAGAGCTGACCTGCAGAAACGTCTCATTAGCAATGCTGATCGAACATTCTTGTGGGTATCTCTTATTCTGCAGATGGTCGAGGAGAGCGCCTGGGTGTCCCGGGCAGCTTAAATGACATCGCCACCACCATACCCGGCACCTTGCATGCTGTCTACGACAAAATTCTACGTCATGTCTCCAACGACGAAGCTTCTCGAAAACTCCTTCATATAATTGTTGCTGCAATGAGGCCACTTTCGCTCGAAGAGATGAACGTAGCATTGAACATCACACGCTGCGACCACTCGAACGAAGACTTGGATCTTGAACCATCTATTCATAGCACAATCAAAGAATTGTGTGGACCTTTAGTCAAAATCGTAAACTCGAAGGTTTACCTTGTCCACCATACGGCAAAGGAGTTCTTGACCAGATCCAATGGTGAAATAGACATGAGCCTGGGACCGTGGAAGCATTCACTATATCAAAATGAATCGAACCTCATCCTCACGGAGGCCTGTACTTGGTATTTGCTGTTCTCTCATTTTCAGGACCATCCCCTTGAAATCAATTTCAGGTTACCCTCGTTGGACATTGAAAGTCAAGTGGATCAATATGCCAGGAGACATAATTTCTTGGACTACGCCGCAAAGAATTGGGCTACTCACTTTCAACAGACTGGTATACAAGGAAATTCATTACTCAAGAAGACAATACTAGATGTTTGCGATTCACAATCGCAGCGATTCAGGACTTGGTTCTGGGTGTACCAAAGTAACACTGACGTCTATTTCCCGCCACACACATGTCCCATGGATCCTATGATAAGGTCCTCCTTCCGCGTCGAAGTCATCAAACGGTCGCTGCAACCAAAGAAGGCCTTTAAAAGTCCATGGATTGCTTTGCACTGGGCTGCACGAAGTGGTTACTCGGCGGTGGTACAAGTGCTATTGGAGAATGGAGCTAGTGCGGCGTCTAAGACTCACTCTGGATGGACGGCATTATCTTGGGCAGCATCAACCGGACATCGGGACATCGTGGAGCTGCTTCTCAATAAGGGAGCCGATGTGAGGACCAAGACTGCCTTTGGCTGGACACCATTGCACCTAGCTGTTGGGAACGGCCACATATCAGTAGTACAGTTGCTCTTGGAAAATGGAAGCGAAATAGACGCAAAGGATCCTGACGGCTGCACGGCGTCACATCGAGCGCTAGTAATTGGACGTTATGACATCGTACGGCTGTTGGTACAACACGGGACTGACATTAACGTAGAGGATATGGGAAGAAATACTCTGCTGCATAGTGCGGCTGCATCAGGACAAGAGGAAGTAGTGCGCCTCCTTCTTCGCAACGGAGCCAATATCGCCTCCAAAGCTGAGAATGGAGAGACGGCTCTACATAGGGCTGCTGGAAATGGCCACGACACGGTTGTGCGACTCCTGCTGGAGGAGGGAGCCCTCGTAAATGCGAAAGATGTATACGGAGGAACGTCACTACACTGGGCATTTGACTCCGAAAATGGCGCTCTAATACGGCTGCTCTTGAAACAAGGGGCAGACACTAACGCCACTACGATACACGGAGGAACAGTATTGCACAGAGCGGCATGGAATGGGAATGTGACGGCAGTGCGGATGCTGATTGAGAATGGGTTTGATATCTACGACGAAAATAGGATTGGAGAGACAGCAGCGATGCTGGCAGTTATGCCAGGATATGAGGACATCGTGCGGTTACTATTAAAACAGCCAACACGAGATCTAGGAGACGACATGATTGCTATGAATGCAGCAGGTTTACCACATCTACAATGGGCAGCAAGGCGAGGACATGAGGCGATAACGGAGCTCCTACTTATGAAAGGGGTCGATGGTAATGAAAGGGATTTCATAGGATTGATAACACTACACCATGCTATTTCAAGTGGAAACAAGAAGATGGTGTTGATATTGCTAGAGAAAGGGACCGACGTCAATACAAGATATTTGACAGGACGGACAGCATTACATGAAGCCGTATTAACTGGGAATAGGGAGATAGTGTCACTCTTGCTGGAAAAAGGGGCAGATATTAGCCAACACGAGATCTAGGAGACGACATGATTGCTATGAATGCAGCAGGTTTACCACATCTACAATGGGCAGCAAGGCGAGGACATGAGGCGATAACGGAGCTCCTACTTATGAAAGGGGTCGATGGTAATGAAAGGGATTTCATAGGATTGATAACACTACACCATGCTATTTCAAGTGGAAACAAGAAGATGGTGTTGATATTGCTAGAGAAAGGGACCGACGTCAATACAAGATATTTGACAGGACGGACAGCATTACATGAAGCCGTATTAACTGGGAATAGGGAGATAGTGTCACTCTTGCTGGAAAAGGGCGCAGATATCAATGCAACATATCAGGGAAGATGGAGAGCATTGCACGAGGCCGTATCAACTGGAAATAGGGAGATAGTGTCGCTGTTACTAGAAAAGGAGCCACGTAACGATATAGTATATTTGACAGGATAGACAGTATTTCATTACTCACGCGCGATTGGAAATACGGAGATCAAAAGGCTATTTCAGCCATTGATTGCAATTGGAGAATAGCATCCGGAATTGAATGGAATTTCGAGTATTTATATTATCAGGTAGATATAACAAAATCGCACCACTGCTGGTTTGAGAGAGCGACTGATTCGAATGTAGAAGATGTAATAAGAGTAACTATATCAAATCAAGAAACATGAGGAATACATGACGCAAGAGAATTGTCGAGCATTAGATAATGTACTTAACTTGAGATGCCCTTGGTCAAGTTACACCCTTTCATTAGCGCCTTGTCGTGTAACACGTGCCGACTCGGTATCACAAAATGTTATCCAGTCATCTCATTCTACCGTCTCTGACAACTTCCGTTTTGGAAAAAGAGACTAGAAGGCTGGTAAACAGATGTAGCTCTTCATTGCCACTAGCGTTGGAGCTTGCTCTCCATATGAAGTCTGGTCGAATTGTCACTGGACAAGACGGTGTCTACTTTCCATGCGTTTAGGAAACGTCAACGGTGACTTGATGCGCGCCGAGGGGTGCTAGTGAAGAGATACCAGCTCCTATGTTCAGATTATCCCATCCAAGAGCCTGCTCATCCGTGGCGCCGTGGAAATATGGGAAAAGGCGCACCTGTGCTCGATCCCGCTGTCCTAGTCTTGTCCGAGGCTTGCGCCCCCTTCAGCTAGGGCCTCAAGAGGTGCGGCCTCTCGCTAGTTGGGCTCGCTTTATATTTTACGGAAGTGGGTAATAGTGGATTTTCTGGGACGCCTTTGTGCAGGTTTTTTTCCCCTGACTTGTTAGTTACATATCGTCTCGGGTTTTCTCTGTACTATAAGTGCGAATGCAACGGCTTCAGAGTTTGTTTCCGTACCAAGCCGCGCCACCATCAACCTGCAATAAAGTGAAGTAGAATCGGCTACACGATTCCTGTGTATAATGCCTGCGTCCTACCAGACCAGCTTGCTTTTCTTCCGGACAAGAGGAACTAAAAGCTGCCGAGGACACGGCTACCTAGGTGTACGGTTAGCGCTTAGGGGCTGTGACGGATGGAGATTGACCATATTAGCAGAGTTGATTGGTATCGATGCTAATAGTGTCAAATAACTGTTCTATTTTATAGTATAGCTCACGCCGCTGTTGACAATCTGGTAGATTCATTAAGGAAAGTAGATACAAGTAGCCGATATTAAATTCCTTTTACACTTCCACTGACACCAATATATAGAACCTATTAAATATCCTCCTTCAAAATAAGACTGTCCTAAAATATGCCTGGCAATTCTTGTGTCGGTAGGTTGAGCTGCCGATATTGCCATTATTCGCACTTTTTAATACCACCCAGACCTATAATAATATGGAACTCCAAATGGTCGTCGACTTCTATCAGGATAGAGGTCAACGTCGATTGGAGTGCCGGGGGGACATGTAGCTTCTCCGTCTGGGCGATACCGTACACTAGCTTCGCCACATCTACCAGCAGCATGTCCGGGGAAGCCGTCGTTGATCCCCTTTATGGCGAAATCGTAATCGTGTTGACCAGTATTGTGGCTTACCTCTGCCTGCCAGTTATACTCGTCGACTGTAAATTTTAGGTCCCCGTTTTCATTTAGGTGTCCAAATACTTCACAGTTCCCATCTTCGATGCGTCGTGGCTCTTCTGGTTGTGGTCCAAAGTATTCCACGTAGACAGGCACACCCATATAATTGCAAACCTTAATATGAGCGGGATGATGAAAAGCTTGCCCCCAGGAGTATCGTGGGAAACCTAGAGAGGATGCCGTAAGGACGGCCAAAATAGAGAGTATAGAATACTGCATATTGATATTTAATAATATGTCAATAATATATCTTATTAGTAAAGTAAATATATTTGTAAAGAATAAAAAGATTTCTAAGATATAGCTATTATTTATATTTTTTATTATATATAATATAATAAATAAAATTAAGTAATATATTATATTAAGTTTATAATTATATTACTTTTTATAAAATTTACTTTTATAAATTTTACTTTTATAATAACCTTAATATAACAGGCTAGGCCCGAGATTAACTCGGCTGCGCTCTCGCTTTTATTAACAAGTTACTAACAGTAGAACCTGCTAATAAAGCAAGATTAGTAACAGTAAGCTTAGGAGCTTAAGAGCTTTTTAAGCTCTTCTTTTCTTATTTTTTTTTTCTCTTTTTTTAGCTTTAAATATTTGTTAGAATTATCTAGTCAGTTGTCAATATACTCAAGTTCCCAACTTTGACGAACGAAATATCGGCGTTGGTCAAGATGCTTTCTGGTACATAGAGATCACAAGAAAGTCCCTCTACCAGCTCCCAGAAGACTTGTGGTATTTGGGCACGTAGAAGCGCGGCCGATGTACCTCGACATACTTTCAGAGACGGCGCAACCCCACACTTTTACTTGAGCAGGGGCTATTTGTGTGGGATTGTGGGCAATTTTCGGCTGCAATTGAGAAATCCATGTGGACCGGTCCCATCTAACCTGGAAAGATGTATAATTTCTCACTCGCCGGCTTTTCAAAACATGGCGGCGGCAGCTGTCAGTCTTGACTTTCATTCAATAGAGGCAAGACGTGGACAGTACTTCACTCATATATTGGCCAATGCCCACTTAAGCCAAGCTGGGAATTCATCCTGCCCAATAACACTCCACAAGGGAGCGCTCTTTTTTTATAGTCTTAGTTTAGCACTATCAGGAATCGTAACATGTATATAAATTACGCTCATGTTAATATAGAGGGCGCTTAATCGGTTCAAGTCAACTAATCTACAAGGTTTCATAAACGTCGGGCTATTTTTACCGCAAATATTAACAATAGTTGTGGTTCTACAGATACCGGTGCCTTAATGGCTGTCAGCTTAATACTGTAGACAGCCACTCAATGAGACCATTTTGCTGCATAATAGACCATCCAAGAGGTCGGAGATGTGTTGGATGCCTAGGTGGTTCAGGTTTGGATCCTGGCGCCGAACGTGGCCAGTCTTGACCCGACTCTATGCCATCAGCGTCAGCAAACGTGCCCAAGTTCACCGCTGAGACATGGACTGGGATACAGCCAGCCGGAGGGCCCTGAGCCCCCGAATCGCCACCTTGGAAACCCCGGGCAAACCTATCAGTACATGGCCCTACATTGCTGTTTTGGGGCAAACATGTGTGCCACAGGTTGTGGCATGGTTCCGTCGGCACACATGTTTGCCACGGACATGGACTATACCAGGGTTCCGTATAGTAGCATACCAGACGGCTTCAGAAAAGCTGCCTGGCTTAGATTCGCGGTCGTTTGGAGGAATACGGTTGCAATATATCTGTTCACCGACTATTTGTGGCAGGGTGCTGGTACGTCATTATCGACACCAGCAGAATGGGGACCTCTACGCTTCTGCACATGGTAAAAAAAGAGGCCTGGGGAATTATCGCTAACTTGTGCTCCATATGCTCCTGGATTATTGGGGCAGTCCTGGGACGATTTTTGGCGCTTTGTGTTTGTTCGTTGCTTTTCCGAATATAATAAGGACTTGAAGGGGAGCTTTCCACCCCTCGACTCTGCGTATGTCGCCGCAGGTGATATCTATTCTATGACAGTGGTCTGATCAGCTGACTTTGCTTGGAGAGCTTGCCCATTTCCAGTATCCATGTTAGGGAAAGATGGTTCGACATAATCAACGTATTTGCCAACGAGAGCTTCAGGGTTTGCTTCATGCGATAACGAATATGGGGCAGCAATTGTGAACCAATAATTTTGACAAAGAAGGCGGATGGGTGTTTCTCAGAGTGGCGTATGTCTTTGCAGAAGAGTTCTTTTCCGAGGTCAAGGGTAGGGATATTAGTAGCGATTGGCTTTAATTAAATAATCTTTTAGTAATTTATTTTATAAGAAAAGCATTGAGACAACACTAATACCTTGGAGCAGCAAGATCCACTACGGTCGCAGGTTACGTGCAGTAATCAGGGGTCCTGCGGTAGTCGGGGGTAGCTGCAGTGGTTCTTTTATACGAGGCCGGCGCCGGCGCCTCCCGTTTCTTACACCAGGCCATTGACCCTGTAGTATTGACGGTAGGTAACCATGATAACACCACACTATCTGTCGGTTTACTCTCCTCTAAAAACAGACACTATAACCTTTATTTTTAGAGGTATACTCCTCTATATATAGAGGCACTGGGTATTAGAGCCGCGGAGAAGAGCTTAACAGGTTGCCGAACTTTGCTAGCGGCTGTGGGCGTATGTACCAGACGGGGCAGTGTATCAGGGTTATAAATCCTTGTCCAAGTACATAGGTTGACAGTCATGCACCACGTCATCATTTTGACAGCCATATAATATTATCACAGGCCGGAACTGAGTCTTTGCCGCTTCATTGGGCGTAAATACGGCGATAGCCGTGCGTCACTGGAACGTGGTTCGGCCAGTTGTGAGAGTAACGTGTTGGTCCGGGCCGCAATCCAGTACGGGCAGAAGGCTGCATGGCGGACACGGGTCTAGAGACCCGATATCTTTTGATTTCCGGCGGTTAGATATTCTTTCGTGTTTGG